AGAGGCCTGAGAACCCAGGGAGCTCATGTTGGAATTCTCAGTTCAAGGCCAGAGAACTGGAGGCAGAAGTGGGAGGCTGGTTCTCATGCTAGTCCTAGAGTCTGAGGCCTCAGGAACAGGAGCTCTGCCGTCTAAGGCAGGAGGGTGGGGAGGAGGAGACAGAGTGTTCCAGCTCAAGGGGGTGGAGAGTGAGTGATCGAGCGTGAATGAGGTAGTCAGTGGTGTTCCAGTGGCATGTGGCAGCCTCCACTTGGTGGCTGGATATGATTTCCCCTCAAAACTCATGTTGGAGTTTAACCTCCATTAAGAGGGTAGAAACTCAATCTGACTATGGCATTTAGGGGAGGCCTTTGGGAGACAGGATTAGATAGGATCATCAGGATGGAGCCCCAGGATTGAATACCAGTGACCTTGTACAGGGGGGAGAGCAGCAGAGGAGATGCCTGTCTGTCGGGTGCATGTGGTGCCCTGCACCACCCTGCAGTTCTAGCTTAGAAGATTCAGCCCCTTGACCTTGACCTCCAGAACTGTGAGCCACAATAAAATTCTTTTCTATAAAACATGCTCCATCTGGTATTCTCTTATTAGCAATAGAAAACAGATGAACACAGTGACCTTTTGCTATGAAAAACAAAGCATCCTAACACACGTTTCTCTACCTCCTTCCCTTTGCCTGTCCCTTGCTCTGGTACTCGGCCTTTGGGAGGGGATGTGTTGGAACCTACCTAACTTGTGGAGTGGGCTCTTCACTCCTGGGGGAATGCAGGTCTGAGCAAAGTCAAGGGAGGGTTTTGGGTCAGGTGTTGAGGGCCACAGCCAGTCAGAATGGCCCCTGGCATTTTGCCAGAAGTAATGGTTGAGAGGCGAGCCATTAAGATGATGCTGGATTGATTCAATTGTATATAGACCCCTGCTGTCCGCCTCGGGTGCCTGCTACTTTGGAGTTATCGAGGGGATTTCTTCTGGAAAGTTCGAGTCGGTTGGTGAAGTTCCGGGGGAGGGTGTTCGGTTGGGAGTGGTGTGCCTGGAAGGGCCGCGTGGGAGGCCTTCGGAAGTTCGGAAATAAAGTGTGTTCCTGCGTGAGTGGCTCGAGATTTTTGCCCAGCCAGACTGCAGCAGTCAGGTCCACTGAAAGTCTGCAGGGCTGACAAGGTACCAGGGGGAACTTAAAAATATGGATATGACTATTGATTGGAGGCAGAGCAAATTTATATCCCTTCTAATCTAAGATTCCCAAGCAGATTTTAAAACACTTCACGTATAACGGCGTTTAAACCAGCCTCACCCAAATGCCCTGCTTGGGCCCCAATCCCCTCCCGCACCCCCTCATCTTCCTGCACCTTGGGGACCCACTTTCCTTCCTGGACTCGGCTCTAATCTCCCTCGATTCACGCTTGCCCTGGAGACTTGGCCAGAGCCTGTGTTGGAATGCAAGACCCTCCAGGCTCCCTGCTGCAGAGGCTGGCCGTGCTTTTCCATTTGTGGTTGGTTAATTGTGACATTGAGGCAGACAGAGGAGGCCTTGCTTCTCCCGCGGTCTCCTCGCCCCTCCCCTCGGCCACTCTCAGCCACGCCCCTGTTCCACCCTCCAAGGCCAGGGTAAGTTGGGCATTGCAGGGACAGTGAATGAATGATCTTACTAGCACAGAGGTGACGAGTCCCACGGGTAAGTTAATGACTTCTCTAATGGGGTCTTCACTTAACCTTTATCTCGGGAGAAGTATCCAGTACCTGAACTCGTCTCCGCGAGCAGCAGGCTCCTATGGTGAGTGCTGCAGACCAGGCTGGGAGCCATGCTCAGCGTGCACCTGTAGAAGGCGGATCTGCTTCTGCAGTGGATTGTAGCATGAGCCGTGCAGGCTCAGTGCTATCAAATGCAACGTGCCTTGAAAAATTTCAAGTCCAGACATTTTGAAATGTGGCCAGTAACCATAAAGCATTACCAATGGCAGCACAGCGTGGGGAATCCGCAAACAAGACAGCCCTCAAGAACAGACCCTGGTGTATGGAAACCGACAAGATGATAATGCTGCTGCAGTGGGGAAAGGGAGGGCAGGGTGCCTTGCTCAGTGTGCGCTGCTATAACAAATTACCCTAGGCTGGGTGGCTGAAGCAACAGTAAGTTATCCCTCATGGTTCTAGAAGCTGCAAGTCAGATCAGGGTGCCCACAAGGTCTGGTTCTAGTGAGGTCCCTCTTGTGGGCTGCAGATTGCCGATTTCTTACTGTGCCTTCCCATGGTGGAAAGACAGCAAGAGAGATCCCTGGGGTCCCCTTTACAAAGGCTCCACCCTCAAGATCCAGTGACCCCACCCCCCAAGAGCATCATATTGGGGGTTAGGAGTTCAACATCCAAAGCTGTCCCCCGTGGGCCACTCATTCAGCCCACTCCACGGGGTAAAGATGGTTTGGGGAAAAGTGGTTCAGATACTGCAGCGGGGTAAGTACCCCCACATAAAATACCAGACATAGTGTGATTCCACATAAACTCAAGGCCTGAGTATGAAGGTCGAACTTCAAAGGAGGTGACTTTGTAACTTAAGCAAGATTCCCAGGTCATCCTGGAATTGAGAAGGCCAGTGGATCTGACCACATTCCAGTCAAAGAAAGGCCCACGGGCAGAGTTATCAGTTGTACCCAGCTAGGAGGAGGCCTGGCAACACCTACATGGGTAAGTGGTCAACATCTAGCCGAGTCGAGGAACTGCTGTGAATCCACAAACCAGAAAACAGGAAGATGACTGGGAAAGTGGGCCGCGCCTTCCAACAGAGACTCTCCCAAAGAAGAAACTTCTAGAGTTAACAGGCTCTTCAAGAAGTGTTCAGTTTCCTAGTAATTAAGGCCAATCAAGCAACGAACTATAACGAACTACACCTACCAGATTCCTCAGCTTCCAACAGTTATTGGTAATGATGTGGGAAGGATCGAGGACTGGAACCAGGTGCGGTACCAGTACCTCGCCCAGCAGGCCAGGAGTGCCGGCTGTCGTGGTGGGCGGATAGACCGCAGAGCCGTGCTGGGGGACTACCTGGAAGCATTTGATGAGTTCAGATCTGCATCCATCATGGCGCACTCTCCTCCTAGCCAGGGAGATCCTGACACAGAGTCACCCCTCCTGGTTTGTGCCATTCTTCCTGATGCGATCACTCCTAGAGACTCCATTCACTCTCAGCGTGTCCTGACGTGGACACTATATGGCTCGATGACCCCAACCTTCAGGTGGCACCATCCCTGGGCTGTTTTTAGCAGCCGACCACAGGTGGCAACTCGGGTAGGCACTATGGGAACCAATGGAACAAAACTACAGGGGATTGAAGACATGAACCAGCATGTCACAGTGGGCAGGATGGACGGGGGTATAGAGAAGGGGGGAGAAACATGGTCTGCTCAACAAAATACACCTGTAGGCTGAAGGGGATTTTTTTAGCATGGGCACAGCTAGCTGCTGGGGTCATCATAATCCACCCAGCCACTCAGGCCCCGGAAGCCAGTGGCTTTCCCTTCCTGTGTGGGGCTTCTGCAGGTAGTTAGCAAGAGCCAGGTCTTCTCCTGACCTTATCCTTGACCATCTTAGATCCCTGTTGTCAGAGAGAACGGACGCTCCATCATTGAAGCCGTGAATGCAAAGTCAGGCCTCATCTAAAGGTGGCTTCTTGCTTAGTGTAACCATCCCAGGTAACCCTCAGAATGTCACCGAGCCGTATATCATGGGTGGCCAAGGGTTCTTATGGGAAAGCCTTTGGTCTGGGCGACTTTCTGGCCCACAAACTGGTTGAAACTTTACCTTCTGTGTCTTAAATACCAAAGAGGCCAGTGGCCTCTCCTCGGGCCAGCGGACACGGGTGCTTTGGTAGCTGCAGCTGTGCTGATCTAGCCCAGCCTCCCACTCTGGGGTCTCACTCCTGGCCCAGGTGGTGCTGCCTAACTAGGTGATTGACAGGGTCTTGCAATGCAAGGCTCAGTTCTCAGGGACAGCACCCCAAACGCTGGCTCGAGATGTGCGGCGTCTCTCAAGTTGGCGGATTTTGTGATCAGCAGATGGGAAAGAAAAATAAAGACACAGCACCCACAGCTGTTGTCACCATGTGAAAGGTATCCTCCCCTCCCCCTTCCAGAGGCTCTGCCCCTTCCCTTTAGACGAGCTGGAGACTCATCATCCCGCAGGCAGAGGGCTGGGATGGCCAAGGCGAGGTGCCTGCCCCTCTCCATGACCCGAGTTCCACGAGAGATCTATGGCATCGTTCTCCTGCCGTCTTCTTGAGCTTTGGGTTTCACTGCCAACAGCCTGGTCTCCTGGGCCTGGCACTTCTTGGCTGTGGGCATGAAGAGGTTACAGCCGCCCTGGAGCCTGCTGGGCTGAGTTAGCACTTCCCTCTGCACCCAGGATCTCTCCAAGTAACAGCCCTTTTGCATCATGGAAAAGGGGTGGCTGCGCGGGCTGGGGGGCCCCCTGCAGTAGGTGGCCGCAGGGGCTTCCACCTGTGTCCTCTAGCCCCCCCGCTGCCGGACGCGGCGCGGGGAGCTGGAAGGCAGAGGCTCCGAGGGGCAGAGGATGAGCCGGGGACACCGGGCGGCCGAGCCGAGCTGCAGAGCGCCCGAGCTGCGCGCGCCTCTCGCGCTCTCCCCAGGCTGCGGCTGCCGCCCCGGGCGCGCTGGCCTCGGGCCGCGGTGCTGGCGCGGGGACCTGGGAGCCCGGGAGCGGGGCGGCGCCGGAGAGGACAGCTCCCCCGGGAGCCCGGCAGGAGCCGCGGCGGAGCCCGGGCCGCGCTCTGCCTGCAGCGGGCGCCGGACCCCGCCTGCGCGGCCGGGCGGAGCGGCTCGGAGGGGGCCGCGCGGCTTCCGCGGCCAGCGGCCGGCAGACCCGGGTCCCAGGCACCGAGGAAGCCGCCCGCGTCGGGGGGACTTGGATTTGTCTCTTACATCTGACTCCCTCCGGGGACTCAGCCCTCACTTGACTGGTGTTTGGCAGAAACTGCGGGGACAGGGTGGGCAGAGGAAGGAGCGCTGTAAACTTTGGGGGCGGGGACGTTTTCTTGGAGGTCACAAGTAGCCTCAAATCTACAGCCTCCGGCGACCGGGGGTCGAAGTCCTCTGCTAGGATACTCTGTGGGTCTGGACCCTGCCACATGACCAACACCAGAGACCCCAAAAGAGCCATGGAGTCCACGCTGGCGACATCCAGTGCTGCCACAGGCCCTGTCACCTTCTCCCACGTCTTTGGCCAGCAGTGCCAGCTCATGGAAGCAGGTAGGAAGCTCTGGGGTATGTGCCCAGCCAGTGGGGAGCAGAGTCCTCCTAGAGAGGAGGTCTGTGAGTGCCCCCCATTTATCTCTTCTCCATCCTGATGTCATGTGGGGTGTGAGAATTAACTAGCAGGGACACAACTGCCTGGCCTTTATCAGTTTAAATGATGAAGTTTTAGGGCCGGCTGAGACAGAATGTGCCACTTGGGCGTGATGAGCCAGGGTCCTCGCCTGCCTGTGCTTGCCCTGGCTGGCTGGAGGGTGGGGGAAGGTGAGTCAGGAGGGACACGGTGATGTGCTGGCTGTTGTGGCCATTTTGGGGGGCAGGTGCCAGCCTGGACTGGTCTCTGTCCACCTGCCTCTCTCTGTCCCTGGGCTGGGGCCGTGCCTGGCTGGTGATTTGGAGTAAATTAGATGCCCGGAGTCGCCCGCTCAGCCCTTGGCTCAGCCATGGGCATCCCTTGACCTTTGCCCCGGCTTCGTTTTCCAAATGGCTCAGGTTTAATTCAGGAGGGAACAGTTGACCTGGGCTGCAGCGTTGGCCCACACCAGCCATCTTGCTAGGAGGTGCCTGAGGTCACAAAGACAGCAGGGGCGGCCTCCTCAAGCCTTGGAGGCCATGAGTGACGCTTGACCCTTGCTTACGACTCTGGGACTCACATAAGGACTAGGATGCGTGTTTTCCGGCTTGTTCAGCGCTCATTCGTGCCGCGAGGGGGGCCTTGTGCTCCTCCAGTGGTTTCCTGGGTGTTAAAGTGTTAATCGTGCATTTCGCCTGGTATTTCAGGAAGGTGCTGGGAAGAGCACTGTATCAGGAGTTTCGGAGCCTGAGTTGTTGGGTCCCTTCACTGGTGGTTGCATGATCTTGGAAATCGCAGACCCTCCCCGCTGCCCCGGGGTGTCTGTCTCCAGCTGCAAAACAAGAAGATGGGACTTAGGGCTGCCTGGTGCTTCCAGGCCTTAGTTTCTTTGTACTCAGAGAAGTGCATCTCAGTGGAGAGGTCAAACTTGATCTGGCTTCTAAGACTAGATGTGAGGCAGTTCATGGAGTGGGTAAGTGAGGGCTCAGAGCTGGTTGCCTGGGTCAAAGTCCCAATTTCACTTGTTAGAAGCTGTGTGACCTCAGGCAAGTTACTCAACCTCTTAGATGTTTTCCTCATCTGTAGGAGGAGGATGCTGGGCACCATTCATAGGGCTATGACAATGGTTAAATCAGTTAATACCCTTTCTTGGGCCAGTCAGTGTGTCTGGGTGTGGAGAGAGGAGCATAGCTGCTTTTGGAAGAGAAGATAGGAGCATTGAGTGCCCCCCTCTGCACCCCAACCGGATTCTGGTTTGTCTAGCAGGTTGAGAATCTCCAGCTCCATCCGTCTGTGGAATCATTTCCTCTGGAGTGGCCCAGGTGCATCAACTTCCACCAGGAGGGGGGCTCCGGGACTTTCCTGGCCAGCTTCCCCGCACCTGCCTGCCCTGGGTTACAGCAGGGAGGCAGGTTGGTTTCTCACATTCCTCCCTGTGGCTTCCTTCTCACTTTTGGAGGCCTGAATCAGGTCATGAAATCCTCTGTCTCCTTTTTAAAAACTATGTCAAGAGAGCAGCGTGACATACGGTAATAATGCCTGGTGGTCTCGGGGGAGAGCACTTCTCGTGAAGAACCGAAGAACCACAAAGAGGAATAATTAACCCGAAGTTGAAAAAGCCTGCTCAGTCGGGGGGTGGAAGGGCCTGGAGCAAGCCCTGGCACGTGTCAGCCGGCCATTTGGAGTTGGGCTGGTCCTGCCATGAGATCTTAGATGTGTGTGCAAATTGATCTGCAGCCTGCGGGCTTCATGGCGGGGTTAACCACATCTGCTCCCCAGAGAGGGGCAGCTGTGGGTCCCCAGTATTCACGGGCCCCCACTGTGTTCTGCAGAGTGTCAGGCATCACAGCCTGAGTGGAGCAGGGCTGGCCCTTACTCGAGGGGTTGGTGATCTGGTCGGTGGTAACCATGATCATGCTGAGGAAATCAGACACACAAAAAATCCGATTTTTCAATGGTGCCATTTTCTGAACAATCTTTTCATATAATTTTTGAAACCCTAACCAGTTTCCACAGGCTAAGGAAATGCTCTGCGTGGCTTGCAGGTCCAGGTTCATTCTGATTTATCTTTCTCATCCATGCATCTCTCATCTTAGGGGAAGAAGTTGATTTTTTCTTGGCAGTGCTGGGGATTGAACCCAGGGCCTTGTGCATGCGAGGCAAGCACTCTACCCACTGAACTGTATCCCCAGCCCTAGAAGTCGATTCTTGAGAATGGACCAGTAAGGAGCGAAACGGGGGAGGGAAGGAGGGGCGGGAGCAGAAAGGGACCTAAAATTTACGGAGCAGGTGTAGACTGTTAGCAGCCAGGGTGAAGTGGGGCATGCATGGGGCCATCGAACTCTGACCTCATTAGCAGCAGTGGGAGCATGAGGTCTGGTGGGGCCGTGGAGGAACGTAGAGCTGCTTCTCATTCAGTCCCAGCCCTGCTGTAGCCACCAGGGAAGCTTGAAATCCCTAGACGGGGCTTGGGAAACCACAGCCCCGGGGCGCACTTCTGGCCCACCACTTGTTTTGTGAATAAAGTTTTATTGGCACACAACCAGGCCCATCCATGTCCATTTTTCCCGCGGCTACTATTGTGGTGCACTGAGAGCTGAGCAGTCGTGTGGCCCATACAGTTGGAAACATTTATTATCTGGCTCTTTGCAGAAAATCTTTGCCGACTGCACCCGAGACCAACATATGTGGCCAGATTGGGGTAGAGAGAATCTGCGGGACCGTGTACGAGGGCTCCAGCCCGAGAGCTTGGCTTCTCCTGATGCCTCCTGCAGGCACCTTCAATGATGCGGAGTGGCTAGGTTTCCTTATATCCTCTGCCACCACCACCCACCCCGCAGCATCTCACATAGGAATGGAAGATGTTGCTTCAGGAAGCATTTAGGATGAATCTGATATTCCTAATAAGAATAGGCGTGTGCCCGGATCTGTGGCACCTGAGACAGACAGGAGCTCACCAGTCTTGTCTGTTGCAGGTGGGCATGCTTCCTGGTTAACAGGAGAGGTTTTTCTATTCATTTGTTGGTACTGGGGGTTGAACCTTGAGCATTTTACCTCCGAGTGACATCCCCAGCCCTTTTGAGTTTTTATTTGGAGACAGGGTCTCACTAAGTTGGTAAGGCTGGCCTCAAACTTGGGATCCTCCTGCCTCAGCCTTCAGAGTCACTGGGATGACAGGCGTGTGCCACTGTGCCCAGCTATATGTGAGGTTTTGATGTTGGCAGAGTTAGGATTTGGCCCTCAGTCTTGCAATCCCCAAAGTGTGCTCACAAAAGGCCTCCCACAGGGTTTCAAAGGCTGTGTTGTCTTGCCCACGGCTATGGAAGACAGAGCAGCATTCTGGATGTTTTAGTGGCTCCTGTGATATTGCTCCCTGCGCCCTCCCCAAGGCCCTCCATCCCACTCCTGAAGGGTAGCTTACGAAGACTCCAGGCATCTTCTGTTTCTGACCCCAACCAACATTTCTTCCCTTTTCTTCTGTCCCCCGCCATAGCCCCAATGTCAGATGGCAGTGACCTGGCTGGGAGGGAGTGACCAGTGGAGGCTGCCAGGCTCAGTCTCCTGCCTGACCTCCTTCAGGTTGGAGCAGAAGGCCACTCTCCCAGCCACCTGTTGGCTGTCACCACCCTGCCCACCGTCACCGCTCTGGTTTCTGGACTCCAGGGCATAGCAGCAGACTCAGCCAGCGGGCTCTGACCTCAGAGTGACAGAGTGCTCCCCTCCTCTGTCTCTTCCTGAGTTCCCAAACGTCTGCCCGGGCACCCCTGAGCTGTCGTCTCGCTGCATCTCTGCGCAGGGCTCTGGGTGCATCCTTGGCCTGGTGGCCTGGTGGTGGGGTGAGCCCAGCTTGCAGGCCACGGCTCCTGGGGCCTTGGCCTCTCAGGCCAGGCTCTGACTGGCTAAGCTGCCCCTGGGTCCCTTGAGTTGACCTGCAGCCCATATCCTTTGGTCAGAAAGCATTCTGGGGACTTACTTGGCCTGACCAGGATGTGAGGTCCTGTGTGTCCTGCTGACATGGCAGGATTCCAGGCCTAGCTCAAGGAGGAGGGTGGAAGAGAGGGGGAGGACAGGAAGGGGACAAGACTTTAGCATCTGGACAGCTGGCTGCTCTGGGTAGCAGCTCAAAGCCACTTGCAAGATCCCTTGTTTGTACAACCAGTTGGGGACTGTCCCCTGCCCGCACCCTATAGAAACTCAGCACAGGTGAGCCATGCCTGCCTGTCTGCCTTATCTGTCAGGTGGCCCCTGGAGCTGGGTCTGGCCATCTTTAGACTTTTATCTTGCTCCTTCTGAATCCCTTTCCCCGCCATTTGCACAACACCAGGCCTTCTGAACACAGCACCTGTTTGCATCCGGAGGCCACTCGCTAGATTTACAGGTAAAGGAGCTGGTAAAGGAACTTGAATTGGGGGCATCTGCTGTGAGCTGAGCACGTCGTGTGCTTTTGCAAAAGTTAAACAGATGGAAGAGGAGCAAACACGAAAGAGCACATTTCCTAAATGGCAACGTGGTTTTAAGGTTTCCCTGTGGATCCCCAGAGCTGGCAAGCGGGACCCGCTTTCTGCCTGACTCTTTCTCCAGGTGGAACAGTGACTCCCTGTTCCAGAAAGAGGCTTTCTGGGTGGCCAGCTGCCGATGCTCACAGAAGGCTGTTTCCAAGGTGGTCACGTGCTAAGGGCTCACGTGCCGCCTTACTTCTTCCTTGCCGTATCGCGAAGGCAAGTAAAGCTGCACCCACTTCACAGACGAGGAACCGAGGCCCAGAGAAGGAAGAGTCTCCTACCTGCCTAGTGGCTGGGGAGCAGGCTTCACGTCTTCTGTCTTAGCCTCCGAGCGTCCTGAGGTTGGGAACCGTGCTCTCGGTCATCAGCAGCATGGTGGGGTGTCTGTTTCCAACTCACCCTGTCCTCCTGGGGAGCGTTAG